AACTTAAACATGCAAAAGGATAAAATATTTATAATAAATAATATGTCTTGTATATTGTCTGCACATACTGTATACGTATAAACATATACATACAAACATAGAGAGGAAGAGATTCCTCAGTAACTTATCGAAATTACATTTAAATAATTGAAAATATAGTTTACAAATAAGTATCCATTAAAACAATTGACTGGTCATGGAATAATACTTAAATCCTATGATTCCTCAACATGTTCAGCCAAGGAGATCGAAGATGCTGCTTATTGCTTAATTTGGTTGGGGACCTCGACACATGCATGTATGGTATTTTACACTTAAATTTTCGTGACGGGTTTGTAGTTAAAAAATCGATAATCGATTTGCACATGTTTGGTTAAGTTTTATAAATTATCTTATAAGCAAGTAAACAAGTATTTAATTTATGGGTTAAAGTCGAAAATAAGTTTTGAAAGTCGAAATGAGTAATTTTTCGTACTCATAAGTAGGAAAAATAAACTATCCAATCGTACTTAAAAATAAAATTTAGTTAGAGAATTAATCACCACAAGCAATTTTGCGTGTCAACTCATTATGTTAAATGGAATGACGAAGACAAATGAACTAATGGCTTATGGAAAGAAGTAACTAATCCGGTTACAATTGCATCTATGGACATAATTTTGTTTTTCAAGTTGAAGTTGATTAAGGTTTAATTATGATCAACTATGTCACATGAAAGACTAAACGAATCAGTACACAATTTTGATCCATGTTTTTGCTTCTAAAATCGCAAGGCTAGTAATATTTAAGTGATTGGTTATCAGATCAGCTGAAACTATCTCACTCATATCTTTTGCACCAATGAGCTATGTCCCGGAGACATTTCTTCACCTTTGTTTGTCGTATAGGGTGTTGTTCTATGGCACAATAATTAAAGATTGAACTGAGTGAGAAATTAATTAATAAATCAATTATTATTACTATAGTTCTGCTTAGCTTATTTCTTTAAAAGTAATTAATCGTTGTTTAGATGTAAACCTTTCCGTGCACGGAGATGGTGACGTGATATCTTTATTTAATTTTTAATTATATGAAACATAAATGGGTGACACACGATGTTACAGGACAATTATTAAAAGTAGTAATTTTGTTTTACATTATCAAGAAACCTTATTTAATGCAAATCAATTTATTGTAGTTAAAATAGTCTTAAAAAACTAATTTACGACAAAAAAAACTCTGTCTTGGATCTTTAAGTCAATACTTTAAGCCCTTGTTTTTCTTCCAATTTTCTTGCTCATTTTAATGAAAATTCTAGCCGTTACTTGGTCTACAGCTGCAACTTTTGACTTCATCTCACGGTGGGACCAATGGGTAGGAGAAAAAAGGGGCAAAAAATTAATTTTTGAGTACAAATAATGGGAAACAAATGGGGTGTAATATTAAGATTTCATAATATTTTCGTCTTCTATCTCTTTCATCATTATCTTCTTCAAACAGTTAGGGATCGTTCTCTTTGTGTTTAAGTTTTGTGTTTTGAGTTTTTAATTCATTTTGAGTTTTGTGTTTTGAATGTCTATTTTGAGATTGTTGAAAATGTATTTTTTTGGCATTTTGAAAACACTCAAAATGACAATTTGTCGTTTTGGGTTTTCTTTGTAAATTTTTAATTTGTTTTCAAAAACGCGTTTTCGAAAATGGGAAAGAGAACGTGTTTTTACTGTTTTGAAAAATAAAAAACAGAAAACGGCTTAAAAGTCGAATTATTGCAACTTAAAAGACTAATATGTTAAAATGAGAATGTTAAGGACTAAAATGATAACTTCTTTTTGTAAATGTTAATAATTCAGCCGAATGAAAGTGATGTGCAGTGGTGATTTCCCCCAAATGAATTGCAAAGTAATACTTAGTGATTTAACTAAACCAATTATTTAAAGTGCTTAAGCAGATAATTAATTTCTCATTAGGACTATGTCTAATCCATATTACGGTTTAGAAGTCATTGTCACGTGGTTGTGAGTGGCACGCCCATTTCATAATCCGTAATCAATCCTCACCCGTCAGTCTGTCACCCCACCTCTACTTCAACTCCATTGCTATTTATCATTTCTCTTCATGATAATCCCCGGTTTGATGATCATCATTTGAGAATTCTTTTTTTTTTTTATATATATATATTTTCACTTTTAATCATACATTCATTCAATAAATATTTTACATGTAAATTCAAAATTTATTCATATTTTTAACTATACATTCTCTTAAAAATCATTATTCAAAATATTATTTTTCTCAAATAATAGCCTTCAAAGAGAGGAGGAAGGGTTATTCACATTTCATTTCATGGTCATAAATAGTCTTAAAAAACTAATTTACAACAAAAAAAACTCTGTCTTGGATCTTTAAGTCAATACTTTAAGCCCTTGTTTTTCTTCCAATTTTCTTGCTCATTTTAATGAAAATTCTAGCCGTTACTTGGTCTACAGCTGCAACTTTTGACTTCACCATCTTACAGTGGGACCAATGGGTAGGAGAAAAAAGGGGCAAAAAATTAATTTTTGAGTACAAATAATGGGAAACAAATGGGGTGTAATATTAAGATTTCATAATATTTTCGTCTTCGATCTCTTTCATCATTATCTTCTTCAAAGAGTTAGGGATTGTTCTTTTTATGTTTAAGTTTTGTGTTTTGAGTTTTGAATTCATTTTGAGTTTTGTGTTTTGAGTGTCCATTTTGAGATTGTTGAAAATATGTTTTTTTTGGCATTTTGAAAACACTGAATTTGTCATTTTGGATTTTCTTTGTAAATTTTTAATTTGTTTTCAAAAATGCGTTTTCGAAAATGGGAAAGAGAACGCGTTTTCACTGTTTTGAAAAATAAAAAGCAGAAAACGGCTTAAAAATTGTAAAGAGAACAGACTCTTAGTGATTCAACCATTCTATCTTTCGACATTTAATTACACTGTAAATGTGTTTTTTACAAAAATGACTACAACCTAAATTTTCGTCGAATTATCGCCACTTAAAATACTAATATGTCATAATGAGAATGTTAAGGACTAAAATGATAACTTCTTTTTGTAAATGTTATTAATTCAGCCGAATGAAGGGTATGCTCAAGTGATGTGCAGTGGTGATTTCGGGTGGATGAGGAAAATGAAGAAATATCTCTTTATCTTTTATCTTTTTTTTTTTTTTTTTTTTACGTCAAAAAATGCAGAGCTATTATTTTGCATTTTTTAAATATGGTCAAACAGTTGACTTTTGATCAGTTAGCGGTCATTTAGACAGAAAAAAAATTAATTATCTGCTTAACAAATTTCCCCCAAATGAATTACAAAGTAATAATTAGTGATTTAACTAAACCAATTATTTAAAGTGCTTAAGCAAATAATTAATTTCTCATTAGGACTATGTCTAATCCATATTACGGTTTAGAAGTCATTGTCACGTGGTTGTGAGTGGCACCGCCTATTTCATAATCCGTAATCAATCCTCGCCCGTCAGTCTGTCACGCCACCTCTACTCCATTGCTATTTATCATTTCTCTCCATGATAAGCCCCGGTTTTGGTGATCATCATTCGAGAACACTTTTTTTTTTTGATTAATAGAAGAAAATCCTCCTAAAAACGTTTTTAATTGCGATATATTTTCATACCTATTGAAAATCGTAGAAAATCTCCTATTTGAAATATTTTGTGCGAAATACCCCCATACCGTCCACTTCCGTTAATTTTATCGTTAAAAACAATAAAAATTGCAAAAATTAAAAATGAATAATTACAGTTGTGATTCTAAACTTTTTTATTTTTTTACAAATTATACCAAAATCATTTATTTGTACCATTCATATTCCCAAACCTTTAAAACTATCTTCCACCCCACTCTCACATCCCCCCACCACATCACACCCCAAACTAAACAAAAAACCTACAAAATTCTTCCCTCATCTCTCTACTCCTCTCTCAATGGATCAATTGGATCATGACACAGTGTTGTATGTGACTGAATTGAATTGCCCATGGTTGAATTGGTGGATTGGAGCACAGTAGATTGGCCAATTGAAATGGGAGAGCTATTGTTAGTTCGCGCAAGAAGGGAGGCAAACTTTGAATCTTGAATCTGAAATTGGGACGATATTTAGAGTAATTGATGAAATTGGAATGTCACGCATGGTTGAAGTGACCCGATTAAGACTCGACTGATGTCAATTTGTTAATTCAATGTCGCGTGAAACACGAATTGTAGCTGACGAATTCAAGTTCGTGACTGTCGGATCTATTTGATCATCACTAGAACGAAATGGTGCATTATTAGTTGATGTTAGGTCATAATCTTGATCTTCTACATGAAGGCTATGAATATGTGGTGGTGCGCAACCGTGGGCATCGCCGAAGATGGGTTTTCTGGCGGGAGAAGGGTGTGTGACATTGGGTTTTTGGACTGTGATTTCAGCTGATTCTTGTTGTTTCATGGCGACAGTGGGTTGGCTGTAGAGGAGAGTGAGACGAGGCTATTGGTGGTGGGATCCAATGGCCTAAAGTTTCATTTCTTCTTCTCATTCCAAATAAAATTTCAAATGTTTGGGATTGTGGGTGGTATATAAAAAAAAAATGAGTACAATTTGTAAAAGAATAAGAAGTTTAGATACTAAAAATCCAATTATTACTATTAAATTTTGACATTTTTACTGTTCTTAACGAAAAATCTGATGGTATGGGGGTATTTCGCAGGTTTTCTGCGATTTCCAATAGGTAGGGGGTATATCGCAATTGAAAACGTTTTTAGGGAGGTTTTCTGCTATTAATCCCTCTTTTTTATATATTCATTTTTAACCATACATTTATTCAATAAATATTTTACATGTAAATTCAAAATTTATTCATATTTTTTAACTACACATTCTCTTAAAAATCATTATTCAAAATATTATTTTTTTCAAATAATAGCCTTCAAAGAGAGGATAAGTTATTCACATGCGAATTGAAAGTTTAGCAGAGAGAATTCTAAAGATTCCCCATGGAAAAAAATAGAGATGTCTCCCACGTTACTCAAAATATGTGGAAGTATCGACGTAATTTCATAGAATCATTCTGAATGTTACATGAAGAACATAAGTCAGATGACAGAACGGGAAGACTTAAGATGTAAAATATCATACCATGTTCCATGAGTGATTCGATAAATTTGGATTCATACTAAATTTTAATAGAATATTTTATTAGCTATTTTCATGTTTCCTAATATGTAATTTGTATTGAATTACCTTATTAGGACAAGATACAAATTTTTGGTATGCACTTCGCTCGTTATCAATTATCATGCCTACATCAAGTCAAATTTGTTATGCACGAGCATTGTTGAGTCAAGTAGTCTAAAAGCGCGAATACAACTAAAATGAAGAAGGCTCGCAAAAGAGACAAGGCGAACCATCCCCTTTATGGAGGCAAAAAGTTGTTAATTTGACGCGTGGAAAAATTTGAAGAACATGACTTCCAAATCGAATGAATAACACGTGAATACGTAACAAAATCAGTTACTAATTCACCACTAAACTCTCGCCACCTATCATTCTATAGAATGATTCAAAGCTCAAGAAATCTATAAATATTCCCGACTAAGAGAAAGATAGCATGCAAAAGTAAATATCTTCCCCTCAAATAGTCATTTTCTCTCTTGCTCCAGTTTAAGCATCAAAACTAATAAGTTCAGAAGAAGAAAAATCTAACTAGGTAAGAGGAATTTGTTGATCGTATTTCTACTGTCAACGAGCACCATATTAAGCATAGAGCTTGACACATTCTCCATTAAGCAGAATGAAATTTACCGACATTTTTAGTTTTAATTTCACTTAATAGGAAAAGTTGGGACAAGAATTATAAAACTCCCTTCAAGTTATGATGAAATCCTCCTCCTCGTGCCGGACCACCACGTGAATTGAACATGAACATAGGCTTCAATTCAATAAAATAGTAATATACAAAAAAAGGTGAAAAATGGAAGCATTAAAACCGCATGTCTTGGTATCAAGTGTAGAGAACTTTAGTTGGCACTCGCCACCCATGTGATGTAGGCACCTTTTCAATTCACACAAACACCCCATAACTCAATATTTTTTAATTTTTTTTTCAAATAATCATTTTTTTTTTCTTAAATTCTAAATATTTAATCGCAACCCCATTTCATTTTGTTCATATTCAAACTAATTCACTCGAGAATCCGATCCACGACGTAAAACCAAATTCTAGTTCCAATAATTGAAGCATAAATCCAAGGGTATTTTTTAACAAAATTAAGCAGATTCCTTGTCAAATTTGGAAGTGCATGCTAATTCACAATGATGTAGAAAGATGGGCTGTCTAATGCCTAGTTGCACATTTGCTTCTCCTTTACGTCGTGCTTTCATTTTTAACCGCATTAAGAACAAGGAAGGAAAAAAAAAAACCATTCTCTTGTCCCATACAAAAGAAATTATTGAACTAAGCCGTCAATATTTATTGTCGATTTGGCGTAACTTTTGAAAAGTCGAAAACTATTATTGAGGTTAATTTCTTTAGAAATAAAAGTATTTTTTGAACTAGAAGAGCTGAAGCTGACAAAATTAGCTTCCACATAAATTTTTTCTACAAAAAAACCGAAACAGAAGTAGTGTCAAACAAGTCTATAATCTTATTACAACTGTATAAGAAGGTACACCTGTAAACTCTCTTTCCACAGTCTTCCCTTTCTCAGGCCAATATTTTGTGTATATATATATATATAGAGAGAGAGAGAGAGAGAGAGAGAGAGCATATGAAATGGTTTTGTTGCGAGAGAAACGAATGGTGTATACCTAAAGGGCTAATAAATGTTGGTGGTGCGATATAACAGAGGCTTCACCTTCACGCAGATCAAGAAAATGCAGAGAGTGGAATGGTGAACAGAGAAGTAGTTATAGTTTGTTAACTTTGTCTTTTTGAGACGGCCTTAAATTACTATTCAGTTCAACTCTCATCTGCTCTATACAATTTCTACAATGAATTCATTTTTCTGAAGGTCATATCCTCTTTCTTTAATGTCAATTTTAGTAGTATTATTACTGTATAGATTTTGATATTAATAAATGCAATGTTATAATGGTGTTGCTGTGGCAGGGATCATTGAATGTTGTTCTGGGGAGTGAAGAAAGATGAATACCAGAACCCGTACCAGTTTGCAGTCTTCGAAAGCTAAGCATGGAAAAGTAATCTAACAGACTGTACTTTTTTCAGTTTTGGAATTAATTATAGTCTCATAGAATTAAATTGTTTAAGAAACGATTCTTTGTTATTGAGGTTCTTTGGCAATTTCAAGTTTTTCCTGAAACTATGGCCTCGTCTTGTATAGGAAAGCTTGAGAAGATGCACTTTTCCAGAAAATTCATTAAAGTAAGAAAATCCCAGATGGGTTTTCAAATCAATCAATCATAGGAAGAATTTGAGGGAAAAAACATCAAAATATTAATTTTAGGAGTGATCTTTCATTATATTTATTATTTTTGGTGTTTAGAGGAATAGAGGGGCGGGGTGAAGAGTGGGGATGTGGGTGTCTGCTAATTGTGAATTTCTCAATGTGTTTTTATAAAGTTTCAAAAGCATTGTACTAGGTGCTTATCCTCAATGATATTTAGATTTTCCTTTTGCTTTCTTTATTTGATCTGTGTGTCTGTGTATAAATGAACTTTATCTTTTTCTATCATATCATGTGTAATTCTTTTCTTGTGGAAGCTGATTGTTACACCCGCTTTATGATTACTTGAAGGAAAAAACGGAAATGCAGAGCAGGAGAATGGACTCTAAGAGAACAGGTACAAGTAGCCAAGGCTCAATTCGAGAGCGAAAAATGTTGTTGCAACAAGATGTAAGCTTTTACCTTACGACTGTGTTTTTCTATGGGTTTTATGCTATTTATCTATGCAATTGTGTTCATAATTTTAATGTTTTAGGTTGATAAGCTAAAGAAGAGACTCCGACATGAGGAAAATGTTCATAGAGCTTTGGAGAGAGCGTTTAACAGGCCGATAGGAGCTCTTCCTCGCCTCCCTCCTTATCTCCCACCTGAAGTTAGTCTTTACCTCTTCAATATATTTTAACAATGTTTGCGGGTTGCTCTAGTTTTATGAAAATCCGACCAAGTTATTTCGTAGGATAACCGCAACAGATGTTGTAGTAGAATGAATTCAGTACCACAAACATTTAGAGTTGAAGAATTGTGTGGAAAGTTGAAGTGATCATCTACTACTTGTATGAATCAACTAAAGTAAAGGACCTACTTTTATGTGATATATTAACTACTTCCAAGGATTCATTCTTGATGATCCTGGTTATGAGTGTAACTGTAATTTTGAATGGAATTTACAGACAGTCGAGCTCCTGGCCGAAGTAGCTGTTTTGGAAGAAGAAGTTGTTTGGCTTGAAGAGCAAGTTGTGAATTTCAGGCAAGGACTATACCAGGAAGCTGTCAGCATTTCATCCTCCCAGAGGAATGTGGATAATTCGGCTAAGTTATATGACATGTGTCAGATTAAAGATCCAAAATCGCAGCAATCCAGGTTGTGTCTTCCAATAGAGTCAAATTCGGCTGTATCCACTGTGAGACGTTTACCATTTTCTCATGGTAGATGCTTCTAAACTGTCTTTTGAAAAATTGCATATTGTTAACAAATTTACAACGGGTAAAAATTTATCCTATTTTTGTATATTTATTATTTTTAGCCGATAAGCAAGGAAAAGAAAACCTCTCGAGCTCCAATTCCTTGAAGAACAAGCAGCGACCTCCAAATTTGAAAGTACAGACTGTCAGAACTCCTGTGAAAAGGCCTCCTGTTGAGTTCAGATCTGCAGAGAAGCATTTAGATTCTCAGAGATGTCAAGTAGGCATTTCACTTATTTTTCTTTCAAGGCATAACGAAATTCTTATGCAACAATATTTATCTTGAATTTTTCCTTCTTGGATTTCAGTTAGAAGGCAGAGTTATGAACCACGAGAGTGCCGAAGAGAGGAATCCTTTTGTCGGTCGAGAGGAAAAATCACCAGTAGATGATACTCCAAACAAAATTTCTGAGAGCATTCTGAAATGCCTGATGAACATTTTCTTGAGAATGAACTCCAAGAAAAGTAGGAGTACGGCAGAAACAGTAGCTTCACACTCATCTTTAACGTCTTGTGACACATATGCAGAGTTTAAGGATCCTTATGATATATGTTCAAAGTTTGGGAAGAGAGAGATTGGTACATATAAGCATTTATTTACTATTGAAGCCGACTCTATCAATCCAAACCAAACAACAATATCCATATTCCTAGTTCAAAGACTAAGGTAAGTTTCTTATGAATATTATCTCAAGTATCGCTCCTGCCTCTGAAATTTTATGTCGCTTGCACTTATTCACTGTAAGTCTCTTAATTTCCTAGGCTTCTACTTCAGAAACTTGAATCAGCTGACTTGAACGGCCTCTCCCATCATGAGAAGCTTGCTTTCTGGATAAACATTTACAATTCTTGCATGATGAATGTATGAGTGAGATTTTTTTTTTCTTATTTCATTATCGATGTACATTCCATTACCTGTCACTTTTGCATATATGATGCGTAACATTTGATAAAGCTTTCCCAATAACCTTTGGTAGTCATCTGTTTCATGTGCTTGCCACTTGTTTTTAGAAATCGAGCTTCAGATTAGAAGTGTGATTAACTATCCATTTGCTTCAGGCATTTCTTGAACATGGAATACCAGAGAGTCCTGAAATGGTGGTTTCACTAATGCAAAAAGTAATGTTGCTTTTCTTTTTCTTTTCTCGTTATTGAACAATAAATGTTTTTCGTACCCTTTTAACAATGTTCGATAGTGCAATCAACCTTTGTGTCTCAGTAACCTTCTTAGGGTAGATTTCATACTTTAACTTGTGATTCATGCTGATAATTTAACTTCTTGTTTCTCAGGCCACAGTCAATGTTGGTGGACACATTCTAAATGCATTAACCATTGAACATTTCATACTCAGACTGCCTTATCATTCAAAATATGTGAGAAGACTCAACTAATAGCTTTTTTCTGTCAAATTCACGGTTCATTTTGGGTTGTGGGTCCGGTCTGATGTTGCTTACAGCTAATCCTATTAATCTTATGTTATCAGACCTTGGCAAAGGGTGCAAAAAATGATGAAATGATGGCATGCGGTATCTTTGAATTGGAATTGTCCGAACCATTGGTAACATTTGCACTGTCTTGTGGAAGCTGGTCATCCCCTGCTGTAAGTCATTGGAAAGAGTAGATAAATGCATTGAATGGGCATATTAATAAACTCATCAAATTATTTTATGATTGAAGGTGCGCGTGTACACTGCAACTCAAGTCGAACAGGAGCTTGAAATGGCTAAAAGAGAGTACTTACAGGCAGCAGTTGGGATATCATCAATTACGGAAGTGATGGGAATACCAAAACTATTAGATTGGTATCTGCTAGACTTTGCAAAAGATATCGAGTCATTACTCGACTGGATATGCCTTCAACTACCATGTGAACTTGGAAAAGAAGCAATGAAATGCCTAGAGAAAGGGAAAGATAAACCTCTGTCCAAGTCTCTTCAGATACTGCCCTATGAGTTCAGGTTCAGATACCTTTTACACACATGAATAAGATTAGATTCAGTGTAGTCTCTTTACAGAATTTGGACAGTTTTGGTGTAAGTTTCACCGTATTGAGTTGTGGTTAAAGTGAAGGTGTATTAATGTGTAATCTATTAACTTTTCCTTGTAAATAAATATTTTTTTTCCCTCAGAATTGTATTTCTTTTTGTTCTTTTTATTTATATCAAGAAGAATGAGTAGTCAAATTAATATACCATTCTCATTATATTAATTTAAAAGTATTTCCCTTAAATTGCATCTATCTTACACTAATTTGCACACTTTTACCATAATTGCGCTAGTAATTAAATTATTTAGAATAGCTATTTTCGAACTCCACACGTAGTTCTTAAAGACATTCGGTACACTTAGTAGATGTATAGAGTAGAGTAGATCTCGACATTCAATATAAATCAATCATACGCAAACTAAAGGGTCGAGTGAGGAACATTATTATAATATTTACTAAATGGCATTTCTCGCATGTGACCCTCGGTGGACTTGCTCAAAGATTTGTATAGTCATATCATATCATGGTGGATTGAGCTGTCTTGAATTTGACTTGGTCCATCAATGTTGCAACAAAATCTTTCCATTTTTGTTTTGATCCACCACATGACAATAAAAATAGATTAAGCAATAAATAATTAGATGCAATCAAACTTTGAGACATATAGTTAACCTGTTCATACTGTGAAGAAGATTCTGTTTCCTTTTTTCGGAAGAAAGGAGGATCTAAACAAAATTCATAAAACTGAAGAAATCCGAGTGAATGGAAATGAAAAAAATACATGTAAGAATTTAAATTTTAGTTTAAGAGATAGACTCTAAAAATAGTCCAGTTGATGAAAATTCTTATATGATGAATATTGATTTAATAATTGACGACGACTTTAATTTTTAATGTGGGATAATATATATATGATGCTACAAAAAAACGTACATATTGAATTTCGAGCTTGACGATTGAGAATGTGCACGAACGTGATTTTTCGGTACCTGAAACAAAGGCATCGATGTGTGTCTTTGTGGCCCCTTCGATGCTTATGTCAGAGAGAGAATATGAAAAGTTTGGGTGCTGAAAATTGTATGTAAAACGTACCTGAATAATTATCCACGGTCATATTTATAGAGATATGTAGTACACTCCTAGCAAGACTTATCATCTTTATTTTTAGGAATTCTAATTGGGATAAGTGTTGGACTTAACTGCAGTATTTTCCAAGATAAACTCCTTCTGGACTAGGACTCTTGAATTGAAGGAATTGGATAGGGTTAGAGTTCTTAAGATGTGGGAACTATCCGCGCTTGAGCACGAAGGAAGTTGGGAATTGGGCTAAGGAAAAAAATAGAGGACTCACCCTCGAATATAACCAACGTAAATGTCACAGGTGCTCACCGAACGTCTTCGAGGTATCTCGAGGACTAGTTGATCCTCGAGCACATGAGTCTCATAATTGTAAAAAACGAGCCATGCGAGTCCTCGTGCTCGAGGTGTCTCACTTTTGACCACATAATAGAAAATAGATATTTATTTTTTTATATTGGAAATAGACGCATGCATGTTGGGCCAGGCAACGGGTCCAGTTTGCTTTGCCCAATTAATAATGAGCAACGCGAGAGAGAGGGCATATGGTTTAACTTTTTCCTCATGACATCAAATGGTCCAAACCATTTGGCAACCATTTTATGCAAATGACAAACTGCTTTCTGTAAAAGTAAGAGAAGAGTTCATAATTCACTTATGGCCAAACCCATTCTTGTACTCATTAGTGTACTGTGAAAGTTGCAACAAGCAGAGGATGTCGTCGATACGCCATTTTCCTTGGCCAAAACCTAAGGACCATTTTGACTTTGGATCACTAGAAAAGAATCTTATGAAAAGTTTTTCGCAAGAGAAATCCCGTGATTCAAATAATATATTATATACTTGTCGAAAGTGAGAAAATAGACTATTCATACTTATTTAGTTCTTAGATAGACGTCTTTGATCATGTGTTCTTGCGTTGGGTGGACTAAATTCCCGTTTGGCCTCATTTTTCTAAAACTCATTTTTTTGGAACTAATTTTCAATAATATATTTTATGGGATCTACACCTTTTATTAATTTTTTGATCACATATTTCATCAATTTTTATCGAAATCTACTAATCACATATTTCATCATTTTTTATCGAAATCTACTAAAAATCTGATTATTAGCTTTAAACGAAACGGGGGCTATATGTAGAAGGTGAAAGAAGTTAAATAGTGGGCCAAAGCAAAACCTGCCAGTGATTGGGCTAATTCGGTGATAACATAGTGGAGGTCTGTGCGTGCAACAGTTGAGGGAGGGAAATTGGCCTGAGTTTGTAAACCCAACTTATGTGGATCCCGGCCCAGGTAGTTCAGGTGAGATAATTGGGCTACTTACAAAAATACCCTTAAAATTATGGATGTTTTGAAAAATCATATGAAAGGTTTTTAGGAAGTAAAAAATACTGTGTAAAATGAAAAAAGTGACTTACTGTCACTTTTTTTTATAAAAATTAAAAAAAGTGACACTCTTAAAAAGCGATACAAACTCAAAAAAGTGATAAATATAAAAATAGCACCAATCCACATAATGATTAAAAAGTGATGTTTGTTACTAACAAAAAAGTGACAAATTTTTAAAAAGTGATAGGAAAAAAGTGATAAACAATAAAAAAAATATAATAGAAAAAAGTGACAAATACTAAAAAGTGACATAAATTTGAAAAAAGTGACAAAACGTTCTAAAAAGTGACAAAAGTTTAAAAAAACTGCAAACATTTGAAAGAGTGACAAAACATCAATTGAAAAAGTGACAAACCATTCATTCACAACTCCTCTTCTCACCCAACTCCCAGTTCTCTCTCTAATTTCCAACCAAAATTCAATCAAGAATGCTAGAAAACAAAAATAAGTGATTTTCTCTCAAAAATCTTGATTACCAAAACCATTCTGCAAATGTTGATTTACAAGAAGATTACTCATAGAAAACATAAATATGCAAGCACCCCATACAAGATTCGTTGGATGATAACTACAAATTGCATTTCACTATCATAATCCTTACACAGTTAAAACATAAATACAGAAAAGTAACAAAAGTTAAAAGACATGGCAGTCCCCGAACCAAGAGACGTAGAACCAGTGCATTGTC